AAAAAAAAAAAAAAAAAAAAAAACCCTGACAAAATGAACCCAAATATAGAAGTCAATGTGGATGAATCTCAAATAATAGTAAATAAAGACAAAAATTTGCAAGAAACTCATTTTGTTTGGATACCATTTAAGTTCCAGTACAATGAAGAGCTGGTACTGTGGCACATGGCTATAATCCCAGCACTTGGGAGGCTGAAACAGAAGGCCTGCCATGAGTGCAGTGCCAGCCTGAGCTACGTGCTAAGTTCAAAGCCACCCTGAACTAGACGAAAAGCCTAGCCTCAGAAAACAAGAATACACATATACATACACAGATACACGAGTGTGAATAAATAAGTATGCAAGTATTTTATTCTTTTTTATGAAAACTCTTTATGATTAAGAATTACCTAGGGGAAAAAAAAAAAAAATTACCTAGGGCTGGAGATACAGCTCAGAGGGCGAGCACTTCCCTAACATTCACAAGCCCTGTGTTCAACCCTAACAGTGCACACACGTACGTTCTCTCTCCCTCTGTCCCTCCCCCTTCCTTCCTTCCTTCCTTCCTCCCCCCCTCCTTACCCTACCTTATCCTCCTTGCCTCCCCCCACACCCTCTTCTCTCTTTCTCTCAACCAAGTATGGTACACATGCCTGAAATCACAGAAATCTGGTACAATAAAGCCAGAGGACCACAAGTTTGAACTAAGCACAGGCAACTTGGTGAACTCCTTGGTTAAAAATTTTAAAAAGGGCTGGGAATGTAGCTCAGTGCAAAGGCCCCTAGGTTCAATCCCTACTGCTGCACAAAAGAAAAAAAAAAAAAAAAATTATATCCATGGAGTAAAATTACAGACAAGGCATAGAAATGATAGCATCATGCTGCTATTAGTGGAAGCATGGGAATGAAACAAAACCACAGCAGAAAGAGCATTTAAGGGAAACCAGCTTCACAAACAATGGCAGATACACTGTTCTTTATATCTTGTGGTATATCTACAATATTTCATAATAATTTTCAAAGTTACATATTAATACCTTTTACTGGCTTAAGTTTGAAAAAGAAAAACATAGACAATGAAACTAGTGAAATTTTGAAACCAATTTTTTAACTGACTGTGACATGAGCCAAGCACAAACATAAGCCAGAGCTTTTCTTTTGACTCCACCACTACACAGTAAAACAAATCCCATCTTTGAATACAGTGCGCCACCATGTGTCCAAAAGCTTCCAACGCCTGAAATGCAGAGACCATGCCAGCAAGCATGGCATCCTTCGTAAATTCCTCTGGCTGTGACATGAAGGTTGACTTTAATAAATTAAACACACCTCAAACTGACATTTGAAAATATTATTTTGATTCTGAAAAAACTCATATTCTTTTTGAAGTTTCCATTGTACTTTAGAAATTAGCCTTTTCTTTTTTCCTTTTTTAAATATATGATTTTTTTTAGTAAAATTCACCACTATAGATATTTAAAATATACTTTTAAAAAGAAACTTAGTAACATAAATTTAACAGAATGTTTGATAAATAAACAGCTGAGAGGAATAATTCAAAATAAATTTTCAAGATAATTAAGCAAGTGGTAATATTCAATTATTTGTCCAATGTTGCATAACTATATCTTTTAATCTGAGCAACGGATTTGATGATAAAAATAGGTAATAGAACAACCACTGTTGGGGCTGGTGAGATGGCTCAGTGGTCTAAAGCACCTACTTAGAACAAGCTTAGCAAAGCACAGGGACCACAGTTCAATCCCCCAGTACCACATGCCAGCCAGCCCCGCCCCCTGGTGGGCTGAGTTGGCCACACACACACACACACACACACACACACACAAAATTATAAAATTTAAAAAAAAAGAACAACCACTGTTAATTAGCTGTTCTTTAGAAAATCTGTAACATATGTATTGTATATTACCCTGTTTCTGTCTTTGTTTCTGCTATTTGTTTTTGCTTTTGCTTTTACAATTCAATATAAAATTAAATTTAAAAAAAGAAACTTACCTTTGAATGTGTAATCGATAAGGTGTCAACCCACACACGCCAACCACCCCACTCGTATTTGACTGCATGGTAAAGTAGGATTCTGAATATGGCATACACCATTTCTGTTATCTTCTGCTCATCTGAATTCTTAGGATTAAAATAGCAGAGAGAAAGCATCCACTCTTGCCACACAGAACACTGTAGCAAGCTCCTGAAAGTTACAAACAGTTCTGAATTACTGGGAAAAAGATCACCTGAATGAATTCGTAAGTATTATGGCTTAAATCTCTCCCAACCCAAAAAAACACATACATCTATATTTTCAGTTAAACAAAGTAGTATTAAAAACTCTAATTTAACTCTTTAGTATATAATTCACACACTATTAATGAAAAACCAATACAGATGAATCATTTTTACTTTTTGGTAGTATTTAAACAACTTTCCTAAGACAAATTGGGCTCATATAAAAGTAGACATGAATATTGCAAACAAATACTTCCTGGTGCAGCTCACCTCCTGTTTTCTCTACTGTTATTAAAAAGTTTAATCATGTCAGAAAGAAAGGCTCGGCGGACTTCCATGCTCTCCAGGCACTGGGGAGAATTTCGAAGCAGGGTTGCAATTACTTTTAATATCTCTGTAAGACAGTTCATAAATAAGTAAAAACCAAACCACAACAAAAATTTCATGAAAAAGGTCATCAAAATGTTATATTTTCTTTAGCTTCCCTTAAATAAATGTCCATGGAAAAACTCTTACCAATTTACAGAAAGGATTGTTAATCTACAATATCCATTAGAAAGCATTTATACACACAAAAATTAATTAATTAGTTAATTAACTGATTTTCTTTCCTAATCAGAATGTGCAAAGCAAAAGACTACTTTGTTTTCATAGTAGGGAAGATGAAATTCCAAGTCTTGTGGGTGCTAGGCAGATACAGTGCTAGGCAACACTGGGCTCTAATCCACTTCCCAAGAGTAAATTTTAAAAGGTTCATATAAAACATTTTCACATTATAAGTGAATCAAATAAAGATAAAACTGCTACTAGCCCTTTTTAGTCTTTGCCAAAAGCCAGAATTGATCTTCTTCTTTTTTTTCTTTTTTTTTTTGCAGAACCGGAGATTGAACTCAGGCCCTTGCGCTTGCCAGGGAAATGTCTATTCCACTGAGCCATCTCCCTGGGCCCCCAGAATTGGAAGATTTTTTTTCTTTTTTTTTTTGCTCCAAATACCTACAGGGCAGGTTTGGCTGGCTTGAGTTGAAGCACAGCAGCCGGAGCCTGACTGCTTTGTTGAAGCAGCCACTTAAAGAACTGAGCTAAGTAAGGGGCAGGCCCCCTGGCCCCCAGAATTGATCTTAAAAACACTGCAATCCATATCTCAGAATAAAAAGAGTTCTCATATTCTGCAATATAATTTACAATAGGTACATTTCCTTTCCTTTATCACAGTGAATTTTAAAAGCTGGATATTTTCCATCCATAATTTTAAAGGTAAAAAAAATCAAAGATAAAATCTCCACTGGTTTTAATTAAAACCTATTTAATATTCCCATGTCCCCACCAAATGGAAACTGCTAGTGCAATAAGTTTATTATCAAACTGACTAAATTTCTAAAACATAGCTTAAAGAAAAAAATTATTTAAAAATATATACTTAATCCAAAACTTCATAGATACAAACAAACATTGATATAAATCAGCTATAGAAGCACATGCTGTAATCCCAATATTCTGGGAGGCTGAGGCAAGAGGATCTCAAATTCAAGGCCAGCCTGGGAAATTCAGCAGTTTAGTGGGACCCAATCTCAATATAAAAAATTAAAAAGGATAGAAACCTAGCTAGTGTGAAGATTTTGCATTCAACCCCTGGTACCCATGGCTTTATCTCAGAATTTCAAATTTAACAATGTATCGAATTTTTATTCAATTAAAATTGACAAACCTTAAACCATCCTTTTGCCAAGGATTCTCATAACTTTGAAACAGTTAAGTTCAAAGTAGCAAACAGGACAATTCTTCGTCATACAATCAATACTATTTGGGAATAATTTATGAACTGTTAATGACATTTTCAAAAGTTATCTACCAAAACAATGACTGAAATGATTGTAATAATCATAATATGACAAAAGCCATAAATTCTGAGGATGTACTATCACAAAGCAGTATTTTCTTTAAAAATATACCTAATCCACACATGGTGAGTAGGTAGGTTCTATTATTATCCCCATTTTGAAGAAAACTATGTGATACACTCCAAGTCACAAAACTAGTGAGCCACATAAGCGCTAGCTGACCCGGGCTCCTAGCTTTAACCACTGGATTCCACTCTTCCTGAGCCAGCACCAGATTAACTGCTATGGTTTGAATGTGTTCCCTCTAGAGCTCCGGTGTTCACAGTGTTACAGAACCAAAGAGGTGGAGTCTTTGAGAGACAATCAAGCCTCAAAGCTCTCCCCCTCATGGTGGACTCTGGAGCCCTGCTCTTCTACCCACCTGGGAAGCAGAGTGGCCCTCAGCAGAGCAAATGCAAGGCTTTTGTCTTAGCCTTCAAAACTGTGGGAAACTCAATTTCTTTCCCAGTCTCAGGTTTTCTATTGTAGTAGCACAAAATGGACAAAGATAATAAAATATTCTAAAATCTTTAAATTTAATATTTTTCTCTTATTTTTACTCTCAAGAATAATGCTGGACTGTATCCTGGTGGTAGTGTACTAGCTTAGCATGTGTGAGGCCCTGGGTTCAATCACAACAATCAGTTATTTAAGTGGAATGATCTTAAAAACAAGATGAGGACTTGCAAGATAACTCAGCAGACCAAGTGCCTGCTTAGGCAAGCACAGGGACTGGGCTGTGATCCCTGGCACCACATGCTGCACCAGCCCCACCGCTGGGCACACTAAGCCAGGCACTGAGTCTAGGTATGGTGGCACACACCTATAATCCCACCGCTGGGGAGGCTAAAAACAAGAGGATCACTAATGAGTCCAAGCTATGTAATGGAACCCTGTACCAAATACATTTAAAAATTTTTAAAAAGATGAAAAATGGATATTTTGTGAAGTGTTTAAGAATTTTAAATGTCAAAAACTGTTAAAACTATGTTCATAAACAAATGAAACTATTTCTTCAGTCCAAACTTGTATTACTAAATCAACATTAATCTAAAATGAAAATTGTATCCATAGTTTATGTAATTTAGCCTAACATCACCAAATAGAATATTCAAAACTCTGTTAAAAATCTATACATTAAATCTAGATATTATAAATGTATTTCTTCCAAACCTTTATATAAGCCATATAGCTTAAAGTCAATTTAATATTACATTCAACATAAATCTAGTTTGTAGGACTGACTATAATGAAATACTCAGCTAACAACGTATTCCACAGTGACTTCCTTTTCAAGTAACAAAAAAGGTTTTTTTATAATATGTAAAATACATACGAGGATTCTGTATCTTTACTGAAGAATCAGGATCTGGATGTTGTTTGTGAATCACCTGAGTACAAATCTGCTCTATAAGAATCTACAAATAAAAAAAAAAAAAAATTACATTAACATAATCACTGTATTAACATTGGTATTAAAGGACTCTAAGTACAATATAAATCAAAATCTAGTATATAGTCTAATATTTTCAAGCTAAATACTTTTTGTAGTTAAATAGCTTCAACATTGCAATGCTATTTCTACTTAATTATAAAATGACACAATATGCTGCAGCATGGCTCAGTGGTAAAGGATTCTGCTTAGCATGCTTGAGGGCCAAGGTTCAATCCCCTACATGGATGGGAGGGAGGGAGACAGGATGGGAAGGAGGGAGGCAAGAGAGGAGCACCTCCTAAAATAAGACATCAAATGGTCAACACAATGGATAAATATTTAAACAGGTATAACAATACTGTTCAGTAACTTCCAGATTGATTTACAAACATGTAGACATATCCCCTTTATATAAATAACTTCAAACCTGTACAATATAAACCTAAATAGCCTTATTTTATTTAGACACTGGCAACCCAATTATACACACATTTTGTAACAAGGAATGAATGAGAGGTAATTATAACTAAATTCTTACCTCAAAAAGAACATTATATGTGGTCATTGTGATTAGATTTGTCTGAAGCATGAGTCGCTCAGCTAGCAATGAGAACAATCCATGCCCAAGCATAACTTCAGCTTTTCTCCTACAAATATACAGAAAAAAAGAAAAAAGCAGCAAGTGCAGAGTTTTATTGTGTACTAGTACTTGTATGTGTACTGGCTAAAGGAAACAAAAATATTTTTTTACATGAAAAATTCCACCTCAGTAACTCTCCAATGTTCTTCAAGGGAGAACCTTTCAGGCTATAAGCCTTTAAGTAGACAAGTGCTAATCACACCATGTACACAACCTCAGCTAATGACAAACAAGACTGGCTATGCCCTCAGCCAACTTTTGAGAGCAATCATTATTTAACCAGAGGCCAGGACCAACACCATGCTGCCAGGTTCTACTACAGGTAACTGTCTAAGTACAAGTACCTCCAGAGAAAAGCAAGGTGAAGGAAAGAGTTTGAGAAAAGATAATTTAAGAAAATGAACATTATGTAAATATTTGTACCAAAATTAACACCTCAAGCATAAACTTAAAAACTGAAATATCACAAACTTTAATTCCACTCTTCAGTCAACAAATGTTTTACAAATATGTGGATAGTACAAATTATAGGCTTTGTGGACCATGTGGCCACTGTTACATCTCAGCAGTGTCGTTACATCATGAAATCAGCTACAGATAATATTCAAATGAGTTATTGTTGTTGTGCTTCAATAAAACTTTATTTGCAGGTGGCCACCTGGATTCTTAAAGCCTGCAAGTTACCAACACCTGTTCTACCTCAAAATTATTCTGGGTAAGGAAACAATGGAGAGCGTTACTGTCTGTAAGGAAATCAGTATGGCAGTTTCAGTTTTAAACATCACGGCAAAACACTGTTACTGTGCCAGCTTCTCACGTATTATGCAAATGATGATGCAACCCACTGAAATCAAAACTTCATACTTCGTAGAATTCAATGTACCCAAACTAATTCTCTTAGTAAGCCCAAAATTGTAAATAACTCAATTCCACATTAGGAACTAAATAATACTGCTTAATTTTATTTATAATGAGAGTAAATATGCACAACACTTTATGAATAAAAAATTTTAAATGTTCCCATCACAACAAAAAGGCAGGGAGGGAAAGAGAGAAGCAATGAGAGAGGAAAGGCGGGGAGTAACACAACAAAAAGGATCCCAGAACAGAAGAGTTGTTCCGAAGGGTTATAACATAAACAATAGACAATTATCTATCTTAGATTTCATGTGTACTCACTTTGGAGCCAGATGTTTTAAAAAATAGCCCAATGCCTTGAGAGCTTGTACTCTGATTCCTTCACTTTTTGATGCCAGAAGTTTGTAGATAACACTAAAAAAAATAAAAATTCAAAGCAAACAAGTATAATTTTCAAAAGTAACGACAGTATTCAGAAGACAGTATGCATATATTTTTCACTATGATAGGCTTAATTCAATATATGCATGAATGTAATATGTATTTCTAACATTCAAAAATGTACCCATCTCTGACCACAGCTCATTTTAATAAGAACCAGAAAATGAGAATAAACTGGAATTCAAGAACTTTGGTAACTTTTCCATGTACACATCTATATACAAATCTTAATGCACAAAGCTGTTTACAAACACTTTTTTTCCTGTGCTACAGGCTTATCAATATCCTTTGGAAGTTACCAATTCATTTAAGTCAATACAAGTAAAGCACTGTTTAATGGGAGTATATTTAAGTTTTTAAATAATTATCACCAGAAAAATAAAAAAAAAAAAAGGAAGCAGGCTGGAAATGAAGAACAAGCACAACCATCAATAACGTAAAGAAAAACTGTTTCCAAAAAAATTGTTTGTGAAGAGGCTAGCAATGTAACTCAATGTGCAGGATGGCCCTGGGTAACAACAACAAAAACATCCCTGAAGTGCCTAAGTGAAACTTCATGCAGTTAGTTTTATTCTGATCATATGTTTAAAAAAATGCACATAAATATACCATACACATTTTTACTTGATATGCATACGATGAAAGTTTCAACAAAGAAAACAATTCCTATCACATAAATACTCAATGGACAAAACAAACAGTGATATTATTTCAATCCTTCAGAGATATTTAAAAATATGATAAAATCATTAAGCTGGAATCTAAAGAAAATCTCCAAATTTCATAGGGACATCTGATTAAATTGCCAGTCATAATTTACAAATGCTACTGACCAACACAATTGGACATTTTTATATCATCTTGCATCAGCAAATGATACTTTCTCTTCAACTTCCCAATCTCCTCCACTTAAGACTATGTTTAGGTGGCCAGCCAGATAGCTCAGCAGATTAAAGTGCCTGCTTAGGCAGACACAGGGGCCAGGGTTCAATCCCTGGCAAGCCCTGCCAGCCCGCCCCCCAGGGCATGCTAAGACTGCAATTGAGACTGGGTGTGGTGGCACAGACCTGTAATCCCAGCTTTTGGGAGGCTGAAAACAGTAAGATCATTATGAGTCGGATCTATGTAGTGAGACCCTGTAGATCCTGTACTAAATACATAAAAAAAAAAAGAGTATGCTTATACATCATTTGATTTTGAGTCACTAGAAAATCTTCTCTAAATCCACCTCGGTGGTTATCATTTCAGCCTTTTAAAATTATGATCACATATAATAATTCCAATGTAATCATAAATAAGCACTAAAATACATATATATTTCCATCCATCCAGTTTGGCCACTGGCTAGTTCTCTGTCCCTCTTTCTCTCTCTCTTCTACCTCTTTCTCTATCTCCCCACAATCCCTGTGTGTGTGTACATTTGTGTACATGAATGTGCATATACCGGGGTGCCCTACTACTGAACTACACACCCCTTTCTATTTCTTACTTGTAGACAGGGTCTCACTAAATTGCCCAAGCTGAGCTCAAACCTGCAATCCAACTGCCTCAATCTCCCAAGTAGCTGGGATTACTGCTGCACACCATTGCATCTAGTTCCACTCTGTTTATAAATTATCAAAAAAGAAAAACAATCACCATATAAGAATTTGCAGACCAAAGGAATACTTCAAAGAACTCCAATCAGATGAAGGGAGTGTCTATCATTTGCAAGCATTTTTTTAAATGTATTTAGGACAGGGTCTACAATCACTATATAGATCAGATTCATAGTGATTCTCCTGTTTGTAGCATCCCAAACTCTGGGATTACAAGCACAGACCACCACACCCACTCTCAATTGCCATCTCAGCACACCCCGAGGATGGGGCTGGCATGGCATGCCAGGAATTGAACCCCCTGGCCCCTGTATCTTCCTAAGCAGGCACTTTAATCTGATGAGCTATCTGGCCGGCCCTTGCAAGCAATTTTTAATCTTTAGTTAATATAAAATTTTAATAAACCTCATTATCCACTTTTAAAGTAAAATTCATTAAACTGAAATAATTTTCTACTTTTCTAAATATTAGTCACTGAAATTTTTTGATTATTCACAGTAATGAAAGATTTAAATAATAACAAAATTAAAACATAAAAGCAAGAGGGAATAATGTCCACTAAAGCCACCATGGAAATTAACATCCTTCCTTCAGAAAAGAAAGTGTTTAAATGAACAAAAATTCCAGATGTGTAAATTTCAAGGCAAGAGAAAACAACCCAGAAAAGGCAACGGTGCAATCACAACGCAGGGTGGACAGCACAACTGTCAGAAATTCAGCAAGTGGATGTAAAACCTGAAAGGATCACCAAAGCGTTGCAATAACTTCTCTCCATCCCCTCTTGTTGCTTAGAAAAGCACATACATACAAGGGAGCTTTGTGTAGCTCACTGAAAACACAACTGCAAAGGACACCAGACAGTAGCTCCAACTTTAGCGCAATCCTTAAACACATATAGGTCAATCAGGATAGGCCGTGGAACTTACGGACTGAAAGAATACAGTCCCGACTTTTATATATACCACTGAGAGACCTCTAAGACTTGTAGCGTCACTGGAAACCCTCAAAGTGCTGCACTGAGCAAAAAGGTAAAAGTAATGAGCAGCACAAAATCGCAGGCTGCCAACTATGAGCAGACCATAGAGTGTGCTAGTCAGATAAGACCATGTTTTCACCAAACAAAGTCCAACAACCAAGGAAAGAAGAATCCATAAGGATCCATAGTTGCTCCAACACTTACCCAAAATGCCTAGTTTCATTTGACTACGCAAAATCATTGTACACACAGGGAAAAAATACATATATAACTCATATAACAAACATATAACAAAAATATATATAACTCATAGTCAGGAAAAGTAATACAATCAAATGACTTTTGAAAGTCCAAGTGTTATGTTTAGCAAAGATTTCAAAAGACTAATAATTATGTTCAACCAATTTTAAAATTCTACAAACAAATCATGAAAATAGATTAACCAAGAGCTAGAAATTAGGGTATGTAAAAGAGAAATTTAAAAAAATAAAAATAAAAGAGAATATTTAAAAAGTACATGGAAATTCAAGGACTAGAAAGTAAAAAAGAATTTTCCATGTGGTGCTGGTCCTTCTGCCACAGCAACCATTGAAGAACAGTAGCCCTGGCCCTCCGCTATCCCATGGCTGTGGGCCTCAACAAGGACCACAAGGTAAAAATGAAGGACCATCAAAGCATTGTAGTAACTTCTCTCCATCCCCTTTAGTTGCTTAGAAAAGCACATACATACAAGGGAGCTTTGAGTACCTAACTGAAAAGGGAATTGCAAAGGAGACCAGAGAGTAGCTCCAACATTAGCGCAATCCTTAAACACATACAGCAAACCGAGGCGCAGACGCCTCAGCAAACACACCAAGTTCATGCGGAACATGATCCAGGAGGTATGCGGCTTCGCCCCCTATGAGCGGTGCACCATGCAGCTGTTCAAGGTCTCCAAGGACAAACGCACCCTCAAGTTCATCAAGAAAAGGCTGGAGAAACACATCCATGCCAAGAGGAAGCATAAGGAACTGAGCAAGATGCCAAGAGGAAGGCAGCTGCCAGCAAGGACTGAGCCCCTCTGGAAAAAAACTTTGCAGAAAGTTCAAAAAAAAAAAAGTACAAAAGAAAAAAATAAGGAATTCATTTTGAGGTGCTTACCAGTAGACTCATGAAGCTAAATGAAGAATCTGTGAGCCTGAAAAACGTCAATGGAAATTAACTGTTCTCAAGAACAGATAGGAAAAGATGGAAGAAAATCAACCAAGTGTGAGGTATTGAACAATATGCCATACTAACAGATATAATGATAGTAACCCCCTGAAAAAAAAATTTATTTTTAAATCTGAAGAGGGCTGGAGAGATAGCTCAAGGGCATAAGTACCTGCCTGGCAAGCCTAAGGTCCCGAGTTCAATTCCCAGTACCAAAAAAAAAAAAAAAAAAAAAGATCTGAAAAAATTATGGGCAAAAGCTGCCAAAATTTGACAAAGAAAAACATTTGCTACAGATACAAGAATTCAATAAGCCACAAAAGGATAATAAAATGAATCACAATTGAAAAAAAGTTAAACTGCTAAAAGGCATAGGAAAAAAAACTTCCAAAGAGAAAATATGACTCAAATCATACAGGACAGCAACAGTCCAATCCATGGCTATTCTCTTGCAAGATACAACAGAGCCCAAAAGTCAGTGGAATGACAGTCAAGTGCTAATAGAAAAGAAGTTATGGTTTTAGATTTTACATCCAGTACAATGAAGGCAAATAAAATTACCTCCAAAGGGCTGGGGAGATGGCTCAGTAGAACAAGCACTTCCCTGGCAAGCACAAGGGCCTGAGTTCAATCCCCGGTCCCGCAAAAAAAAAAAAAAATTACCTCCAGCTGAACAAAGACAAATAAATTTCATCATTACGCTATGTATGCCTTATGAGAAATAATAAAAGACAACCAAGATGAAAGGAAATACTATTATAAACTCATTAATAAAAATTTTTAAATATTAAAATCAACAAGTTTTTCCAAATCAAATATTGTAAGCAAAATAAATCCTCCCTGCCTTGAATATTACAAATAAAATCATGAGGAAAACATACAAACAGGAATCTCTGAACGGCTTGGAGACTAAAAAAAAAGTAGGCGCATTTCATGTAGAAGATTTAGACTTAATCATTATTACCCTATCTAAAGTCAAAAAGAAAATCATGTTGTCCACCATCACCAATTCTATCAGATGTTGTATAAGGGGTTCTGGCCATTGCAGTCAACAAGGACATGAATTTACTTTCAAAGATCTGTTTTTTAAAAAAAGCAAAATTATCTGACTTGAAGACAAAATACACAGAAATCATAAGGATACCCCCAGTTTATTTAGTTCAGTGAAAAGGACATTTTGTTTTGCTTTGGTTTTTTTGTATTATTAT